TTAGTTATTTATGTAATTTATTTATTTTTATAAAACTTGCATAATTAGATGTATGTTCACAATCAAACATTAGCTTTAAATGAAAAGAATATTTTGTGCATAGTTTAATTTAACAAAAAAATATTCATGCAGTAAATTCGTATCTCATTTTTACTAAAATACAAATGTATTATATAATTATCGTTTGATGAAATTCAAAAAGTTAAGTACAACATTGAAATAATTTTACATACTTCTCTCGTTCCAATTCAAAGTATCATTTTTACAATTTTTGTTTGACCCACTCAAAAGTATCAACTTCTTAGTATAATACAAGTATTTTATATACAAATATAAAAATATTCATGTTTTTACACAAATTACAAAATATCATTATTTTATTTGTACCTTTTAAGAGCAAAAATATCAAATTATCTTATATATTTCCACTAACCAATAAAATACTTATTATTTCTTAATCCATTAGAAAAAAGTAAATGACCAATTTGAAATGAGACGGAATAAGTATTAAATAGATAAGATCAATTTTTTTTTTTAAAAAAATGAGGAATATATTTTAAATATATACTTTGGTAGTTGGTGAATGTTTTTGATGTAATGACATATTTACCCTTATGTATTAATTTATCTTTCTTCATCCGCTAATTAAATTGTAGAACACCATTAAAGTTCTATATCAACCATTAAAAAACACTACTTATTAAAAAGTCTACCGTATACACAAATTAAACATAGACACTTTACTCATACACTGATTTTGCCAAATTATACCTGAAACAATTATGTGACATTAAACCACTACAAATAAATTTTCAAGTTTAAAAAAATTAAACCATAAACCACATATAATTACATTTCATAGGTGATTCATTACAAAGTCAGTGGTTTGGAGGAAAATCACCCTAATTCAGCACCAAAAACAACTTGCAGTGAGAAAGAGAAATCAGTAGACGTCACAATTAATTACGATAACGTAAAAATCAATAGGCATCGCTATAAATTAGTAGGTTGGGAGGATGAAATCTGCAATACTTAATAGCATTGCTCAATTTTTGTTGCAAGGGTCAATGACTGGGAAACCAGATTATGGAAAATTCACTAAATCAAGTTCCAAGTTTGGTGTTATAAGAAAGGTGATCCATAGAGTATGGAAGAAAGCTCAAGAACAGTTGCGATCAAGTCAACCTATTTCTTTATGTAGTAAAAAAATAGCCCAATGTCGTGTTAAAAAGAAGCCATTTGATAAAACCACTTTGCAAAAGATTCCCGTACACAAAAAGAAGGAACTTATAGAAATATAGCAAAAGAGATGCATGTAAGCAAGAAAACTATCGGGTATTAGGCAAAGACGGATCTGATTAGACCACACACCAATGCTATACAATTAAAAAAAAAAAAGAAAAAAAAAAAGGCCTTCCTTAAGTGAGAAGAACAATATATAGAAGTTGAAGTTTAGCCTCAAATCATTGCAGATTAATAATGAGTTGAAAGCAGTCAAATTTAGAAGCATGACACAAATTGTTTATATAGATGAGAAATTGTTCAGTCTCATAAAATAGACTCAGAGGTACTACTTAGCACCGGATGAGATAGAGTCATATTGGTCCTGTCAAAGTAAAAGATTCATCACCAAAGTAATATTTTTATGTGCAGTTGCTAGACCTATGTATGATCTGAATGGAGAATGCATAATTGACGAAAAAATAAGCAATTTTCTTTTTACCGAAAAAGTTCCAGCCCGAACAAATAATAAGATAGGGCAGCTGGAACAATGATTACAAAACCATTGGAATCATCACTAAGGAAGTCACCAAAGAGCTTCTAAAAAAAATGTATGTTACTACACCTTGTACTAATGTGACTCGACTTCTTTAGACCTCAGAAATATATCATCATCGGGTTAATGATCATAGATATAAGTCTCCTAAATAAGTATTAGAAAAATTAATCTTTATTGGTGATGTTATTACAAGTGATCCCAGAAATAAATGAAAAGTAACCTATCGAAAAAGATAGGAACATTACCATTCAGCAAGATAACGCAAAGCCTTACATCAACAACGATGATCCCGATTTCAGAAAAGCAACAAGCAGTGACAGATTCAACATAAGTTTGGTGTTTCAACCACCAAACAGCCCCGACACAAATATGAATGATTTGGGAGGGTTTTAGGCATTGCAATCTTTACAAATTACCATACCAGGTACTACAGTGGATGATATGCTTGAAGCAGTTCATAAATCATTTCAAGAGCTCTCAAACATCACTTTAGATTCAGTTTTTGTACGTTTGAAAGCATGTCTTCGAGAAATAATAGCCAATTTTGGCTTAAACAATTACAAGATCTCTCACACAGGGAAAGACTCATTAAGGAGGTCAGGAAATCTTTCAAAAGACCTACAAGTGGACCTTGAAATGATCAAGATATCTATTGATCATTTGATGGATGCAAATGAAGTCGAAGATTTGGAAGAATTTATAACCTCTCTTGAGGAATTTTAGAAGATGAAACTTTTTAGTGCTGTAAAAGGGACTTTGAGTGTAGTAAAAATGGACTTTTGAGTATGTAAAGATTTTGTTTATTGCTGTAAAACACCTCAACTTACATAGGTTGTTTAAGCAATAAACATAAGTCAATTGCGTAGACTAGGGCCATGAAGTTCTACATCTCTCACAATTTTTGTATCACATAATATATTTTTGGTTTGATGGACAATATATAAGTATACCAAAACAATGTTAGTTATCATAGAGTATTGTCAATTCACTCTCAAAAATATATTCACACTACTCTCTCCGAAAATAATCTTCATCGAGTATGGGCAGTGTGTGTACAAGTTTGAATGCACATGCGGTTGCGTTACTTAGTTAATAAGTCTTCATGACCAATATGCATTACTCACACAATAAGGGAAGTAATAGTGCACTCTAGAATAATAATCATCGTTGAGTAAGCCTGTGTGTATCAATTTTAATGCACATGTGGTTGCATTACTTAAAAGTAAGCCTCCAAACAATATGCATTACACACACATCAAAGAACCTATATTGCACAAAAAAATGCTTAGAAAAATTCCTATTTCAACCCAAAAAATGCAAATTCCGCCTTAAAATTCCGATAAATAAAGCAACATAATGTATACATTAGAAAACTCGGGCAAAGACATGGCAAGAGGACCGTAAATCCTCAAGAACTCATGGACGACCTCAGAAACAACGGCAGAGTGACCTCTGGCAAGAGATCTCCACCATCCCTTTTAGGGTTTATGCCCACAGGAGCAACAAAGATAGACTCATCATTGGAATCCGGCACAACCATCCGGTAAAAAATGTTGGGAGATTCCGACACCTCAGACGAGTAAATCCGAAGCTATACAAAGAAATAGTTTACAAAAAGTTAATCATAGATGAAAATATAAGAGAAAAATAAATTAGCTTTTGAAATCACTAAAGTCCGGTGCATACTCACCATCGAAGGTCCCGAAAGTCTTCGAAACCATGGATCTGTAAAGATCCGAACCTATATCATCGGAATCAGGCACGAACTCACCCTCGAAGATCGGAGAGGTCTCCAGAACAACGAATCTATAAAGATCTGTATCATAAAGTGGTATCTCTTCAACGCCGTAGTTAGCTCCCAAACACAAATCCGGAGCTGTAAATGGCACAACGATACTCGGACTTCACCACCGTTCTTAGCTCCGGCACTATCGACACCCTTACTGGCCATTTTGGCAATTGACGGTGAAGGAAGAATAATGACGTGGGAACCCGCAACCGCTACGCAAAAGTGCACATAGGATAAACCCTTGGCCGAACCTAATACCCTGTAAACTAGGTTCGTTAAGGTAAGTCACATTAGGCGGACCATGTGTGGTAGGTGACCTAGAGGCGTTGGGGGTTTGAACCCATGACCTCATAGTCTCATTCCTTACGGGACGTAATTTGATTTCATTTTGTTTATGTGTAATTGTGAGTAAATTTGTTTGTAAATGATTAATGATTTAATTAATGTGTAATTTTTGTGTGTTAAGTTAAATAGTGTGTAAAATTATTGTAGTGACTTTGATGTAAATTTGTATGGATATAGGGGTATTTATAATTTTAAGTGTAAACGAGTTACTAAATAAGAAAATGGATATTATGTTTGGACATCCAAAAATAGCAAAATATTTACTTTATGGCTGGACGAAGAGAGTATTAATTAACAATGTATAAAATAAATACATTTATGATCAATAACGGATTTGTAGTATTTTTTAACGATTCTCTATAAATATTATTAAAAAAATACAATATACATATACATTAATATAATATAAATATATATACTTTATCTATTAACAATTTAACATAAAATATTATTTTTTATATTACCAACATAATTCTCTGTACCTGACATACAAAATACATTCATCCAAAATACAAATCGAACAAACTCATTCATTTATATAAACACAAAAATAATGATTTGTTTGTTTCGTGAAAACAATCCAACACATTTTAAAAAAAAATTAATGTATTATACACATTCATTATTTTTATATTATTCTACACAATTTCATATATTTCACACATAAAAAAAATTCAGTCAAACAATTTTATAAAACAAATGAACCCTTTGAAGAAGATAACCAGATTAGCATGGTAGATGATTAATAATTTTCGAAAATTAATAATTTATAATTATTTATTTATATATTTATTTTAAAGTAACTCCTAACAAATTTTTTGGTAGTTGATGTTTCAAAAAATACATATATAGTTTCAAATAAAAATAATTTTATCCGATATTTTAAATAAATAAAAAATATACTAATATTTTTGTACTAGTATTATGATAATATGATGGGTGGGCTGGACTGGGCTGGGCTGATATATATTTCCACAATTCGATATATTAATAATAATCTCCAATCCGTTATATATATAAAAAAAATACTAACAATCTCCGATCAAAAAAATAATAATCTCCGTTTTAACAGCGCGCAGCGTCAAGAATGGTAATTCCCAACCGTGTTGGTGTTGCTCAGTTTAGTTCAAATTAACCCGGAAACGAAACTATGAAATAAAAGGGATGATGGGATCAATTAGTTCTGTTGAACAAGAAAACGAAGAAGCAGCAGCAGCAAGGATCAATTAGTATATCCAGAAAACCCAGATCCAATGCGATCCCAAATTTGTCTGCCCAAAATTAAAACAGTTTCTTAAACCCCTCAAATCAAATCTGACGGAATTTCTTCTTGTGGTCAATGTAAAAGCTCTCGCTCTCTCAATTACTTTCCTTCCATTTTTCCAAAATCCCTGAGAAATTTTATTGCTATTTGTCCTCAGCATATCGTAATTCTGTTTAGTTTCCTCTGCATGTACGAATTGATTTAATTGCCTGCCTGCCTGATTTGGAGTGGTAAGCATTACGATTTGTGTTATGTTTTATAAAATTCTGTATATCCTTGTCAGTATGTTGATTAGATTTGTCTAATTAGAGGTGGGAATCTCAGTTTTAATTTAAATATGCAAGACGATTACAAAGAGCAGCCGCTTGGAAAAGTTGAGGAGGAGATTCACGACGTAGAAGAAGGCGAGATATCGGATTCCAACTCCGTTGAAGAAATTACGGAAGAGGTCTTTAATACTAAGCAGCAAGCAACGGCATCTTCTCCGCCGCCCCTGAAAAATATTACTAATTCGAATATTAGTAATGTTATTAACACTAATAGTGGTGGAAGTGGGGCTAGGGTTTGGACAATGAGAGATATATACAAGTATCAGATTGCTTCAAACACTACTTATAAAGGTTTGCATAACTTGGCTTGGGCTCAGGCAGTTAATAATAAGCCTTTGGATGAGGTTTTTGTTATGGTGGAGGGTGGTAGCAACAATATCAGTAATGGAATGAATTATGCCAGTGGCCTCATGAATGCTTCAAATGGCAATGAGGAGAGGATTGTTATAGATGTGGAGGAGGATGAGGGTGAGAAGGAGGAGGGTGAGTTGGAGGAGGGTGAGATTGGCTTAGATTCTGAGTTGATTTTAGGAAATAGAGATTCAATAAAGGAAGAGGTAGAAGGTCAAGCGAATGCTAGTGATCAGCTAGAAACGAGCAAGCTCCTTTTTTCAATAAAAGAGGAGCTCGAGCATCTGAGTGTAGCTGATGTACAAAAGTAAGTCAGCCATGAGTTATTGGTTATTATCTGCTTATCACCATCAATGGTGAAGAAAATTGAACCTTTGTGTCTGTGCAGAGCTTATGAACATTTTTGTTCCAGCTTGGAAACAACAGCAGACAGTTTGCATAAAATGGTTCTGGAAGTTTCTTTGGTTGAGAAAGAAACTCTTGTTCAGCTGTTGTTAACCATAATTCAGAGACTTTACATGGTATGATGTTTGAACTGATTCTTGATATTTATCCTCTATTTTTGCCACTCTGTCTATGTTTTCCGTGGACTGATTAAATATTTATGTATAGTTAATTTTTCCATTGATGGACCTCTGCCAAAATGCTTACATGTGGGTACTTGTAGGTGTTGTCTTCCATGACTCTGAGCCTCAAGGAGCAAAACAAAGTCATGTTGCTGAGGTTTACATTTGGATCGTAACCTATGTTGGACTTTCCATTTTTTGGTATCATTCTTGAGTTATGTATCATATTACCTTTGTTAATCTGCATGCAGATTGCTTGCTCACCTAACAAGCTTGAAGCCTCCTCTCTTTTCTTCACCACAGTTGAAAGAGGTGCAGGTTTTCCGTGTTCCTTCTCCACCCAAAGGCTCTAAATTATTGAATCATTTATGGTAGTTATTTTGTCTCATAGGCATGCATTATCTCAGGTGGGGGCAGTTATGTTTTCCCTGGAATCTTCCACTTCTGCTTCAAGCAATGACTATAATAACTGGAAACAGGAAGCTCGGGCGTTAAATACAACTGATTTGAATTTGTTGATTGGGAATACTAACAATGATGTGGCTCATCTCAGGAACTCTGGAGTAGAATCTAGTTCCTCTGGATTACTTGATCAATCTGAGGACAGTATTTTGCTTCAAAATTCGAAGTTAGGGACACTTACTTCTAGGCCCAAAGGCTCGCCGACCCTACCGTTGCTGGATCTTCACAAAGATCACGATGCAGATAGTCTTCCTTCACCAACTCGAGATCTTTCTGCCCCTTTCCCTTTTGACAGGGGATTAATTCAAGAACGTGGGTTCTTGAAACCTGAGTGGCCTGTTCCCCAAAAATCTCATGAAAGAGAAAATTTGCTTCTGCATCCTTATGAAACTGATGCTGTCAAAGCTGTCTCTAGTTATCAGCAGAAATTTGGTTGGGGTTCCTTCTATATGAGTGACAAGCTTCCCAGTCCTACTCCTTCGGAAGACGATGGTGCTAGTGGGGATGCTGACATCAATGAGGAGGTTTCATGTTCTATCATTCAAAGTGCTAGTACTGTTGAGAACACGTCAATCTTGGGGCCCCCAGTTGTTTCCTCCACTGCTCAAATGGACACTGTGGGTGCTCCAGATATTAGTAATCCCAAGAATATTAGTTCTGTCAGTGGCTTCCAAAATCCAATGCTGAAGTCCTCAGCAAGAAGAAGGGATCCTAGGCTTCGAGTAGTCAATTCTGATGCAGGTACCAAGCCTCTAAGTCAAGGAATCTCTTCCCCAGGGAACGTGTCTAGAATGGAGCCCGTTGATGTGATGAACTCACAAAAGCAGAAGACGCTTGAGGAACTAGTTTTGGATGTGCCTGCACTGAAAAGGCAAAGAAATGAATTATCAGGTACAAACACAACACCGCCGCCGGTTTGCATAACCTCTCCAGTAACATGTCCAACACCTCTACCATCTAATGGTCCTGTTACTACACCATTAAAATGTCAAAGCGAAAAACTGCCGGCAATATATTCCAATGCAACTGCTTCTCTTAATTCTCTATTGAGAGAGATAGCTGTGAACCCATCCATATGGATGAATATACTCAAAGTGGAAAGTCAAAAGTCTTCTGATGATGCCAAAAGTATGACACATGTTCCAAACACGAATGTAATCCCAGGTGCTTTGCCATCAACAGCAAATCGGCCTTTAACCTCAACCCTCAGGAACACATCTGTGGGAATAATTAACAATTATAGTCAGGTATTATCTGCTGTAGACACTGTGTGCAGCTTCATTTTTTATTATTTTCATGTACACTTATGCATCACTGGTGATTCTGACTCTTCAAAATTCTCTGGGCTCCATTTTTAACATTGCTCCTCCCAATTTTTGATCCATTTGATATTATGGAAGAATAAGAATAGGATACATATCAAATTACCTTTGTTAGTGTAGTCTTTTGAAACAGGGTCTGATAACGTATCAGTTAGGTTACTTTAGTGAGTGGAATCATTCTTACTGCTTTGCTTTAAGGTTACTGACAATCTAGTTGTTGATCAAATATGCAATTTACAGGAGGAATTTGGAAAAGTTCGAATGAAACCTCGCGATCCACGGCGTATTCTTCATGCAAATGCTCATACACCACAGGCAAGTGTAACTGTTGGTTATGATCAGCTTAAAGTAAATGATGCATTTGCTTTGCCCGTAATGGACAACTTGAGCAACCTAAGGCAAGAAGATCAATCTGAGAAGAATTCAGTGTCTTCCAGTGGCAAGAAACCACCTGACATAGAAATGCAATTCACTAGTAACTTGAGAAATATTGCTGACATGGTGTCTGTATCTCAAGCACCAATGTCTTCACCTGTTCTTCTGCAGACTCCACCACAGCAAGTACAGAGCCATCAAGCTGGAATAGAGACAAAAGGAGTATTTTCTGACTCTGTTAGCTTGAGAAAGAGCAGTGATGTGATTTCAGATTTGGCTATTGCTTGTCCTTATCGAGCATTGAATGTAAATGCATGGAATGATGTTGACCACCTACTTGAGGGCTTTGATGACCAGCAAAAAGCTGCTATCCATAGAGAGAGAGCGAGGAGGCTAGATGAACAGAAGAAACTGTTTAGTGCTCGCAAACTCTGTCTGGTGTTGGATCTAGATCATACTCTTCTAAATTCAGCTAAGGCAAGAAAATGTTATGCTTTTTAATCAATTACCCAAAAAGTACAAGTCTTACGTTTGACAATTTTTCTCTTTTTCCAGTTTGTTGAAGTTGATCCGGTGCATGATGAGAAGCTGAGAAAGAAAGAAGAACAGGATCGTGAAAAGCCCCAGAGGCATCTATTTCGGTTACCTCATATGGGAATGTGGACAAAATTGCGGCCTGGAATATGGAATTTCTTAGAGAAGGTGATCATAAAGAAACTTTTAACAGTAGCGTGAATCATATCCACTTAATTGTTATTGTCTTGAAGTTCATTGTTTTCATCTTAGGCAAGTAAACTCTATGAGCTGCATCTCTATACCATGGGAAACAAATATTATGCCACTGAAATGGCAAAACTGCTTGATCCTAAAGGGGAGCTGTTTTCTGGACGTGTTCTATCACGTGGAGATGATGGGGAATCATTTGATGGGGATGACAGGGCTCCTAAGAGTAAGGACTTGGATGGGGTTTTGGGTTTGGAGTCTGGAGTTGTCATTATAGATGATTCTATACGTGTCTGGCCACATAACAAACTAAACTTGATAGTTGTGGAAAGGTAAGGATGACTTGCTCTGTTGAGAGACTGTTGAATTTTGTACTTGGAAATACAGAAGTGTGTAAATTTCTTAAACCCATCCCTCTCACTCTCTCTCTCTTTTGTGCAGGTATATTTATTTTCCATGTAGCAGACGCCAATTTGGGTTACCAGGTCCTTCCCTTCTTGAGATTGATCATGATGAGAGACCAGAAGATGGAACATTAGCAACTTGTTTGGCGGTGAGTTTGCACTTGGCGTATAAAAATGTCGTATATTTTGTAATCCTTACAACTGAATAAAGCATGTAGTTGCATCTTTTCTTCATTATTGATGGATTCTAAGGATAGGATTAGGTGTGTTCTGGAGTTGGAGGGGATATATAAAAAGGTTTTTGATTCTAGATGCAATGAATTCTTCCAATTTGTGATTAAGCATATTCCATATGCAGATTATTGAGAGGATACATCGCAACTTCTTCGCAAATGAGTCATTGGATGAAGCGGATGTTAGAAACATCTTAGCTTCTGAGCAGCGCAAGATTCTTGCTGGTTGTCGTATTGTTTTCAGCAGAATGTTTCCAGTTGATGAAGCCAATCCTCACATGCATCCAATATGGCAGACAGCTGAGCAATTTGGTGCCGTGTGCACCACTCAGATAGATGATCAGGTTACTCATGTAGTTGCAAATTCACGTGGAACCGACAAGGTACACTAAATTTTAGCCTTTGTTTGCCTGCTTACATTTTTACTTTAAGTAAGTCTGTAGCAATTTAATGAGTGAGTGTTTTTTACAAGAAAAAAAGCCTCTGATTTTTGCCAATCCTTCTTTCCAAACAGGTGAATTGGGCCATGGAGACAGGAAAATTTGTGGTACATCCTAACTGGTAAGGACTCTCACACATAATGTTGTGAATATACATAACATGATGTATTTCCTGCATTACTGTTGCATTAAGATGTTCCCCTACTAAATCACTTGTGCAGGGTGGAAGCATCAGCTTTGTTATATAGAAGAGCTAATGAGCCCGAATTTCCTGTTAAGGAGGGTTAACAAAACAAAACAAAACAAAAAAAAAAAAAAAAAAAAAAGGGAAAAATCTCACCATATCTTGGTCTTCAATCTATTGTCTGGCAAGGAGAAGAGGATCCATCATCCTTCATATATGGTTTGAGTTGAGATCGATAAAATTTGGTATTGGTAAGTCGGTCTTGTGTTGGCTTGGCAGGCAGAACCTACCCTTCCCTTACACCCTTACACTCGCTGGACAAAGACACGTAAAGGGTAGAAGGGATGGGATGATGATGTTTTCTTGAGGGAGTGCATGTGCATGTGATCTTATTATACGCACGCATGTGCGTCTGGGAGACAGAATGGGCAGAAGGCATTGAATCGATCATAACTCGTCCTCCTCCTCCGGGCAGGCCTGCCAAAGTTATGATGCTTGCTTGACTGACCCCAATTAAAAATTTTGAAAGGGTTGCTTATAAATAAATGTGTGGAGGATGGATGGATGGATGGGTTTGAAATATAAGAATGGAGATGAGAGTACCTACCTCTGCATTAAATACAAAATTTTCTAATTGACCTAATAATAATATGATGATAATACTTAGTATAAAGCCCAAACAAGGAGTGGAGGGTGAGGAAGGACGGACGACTTTGGGGAGGTAGAAGTTAAATGTTGCCGAAGGCTCGCATGAGCACCAACACCTAGCTAATCTCAATCTCTCTCTCTCTCTCTCTCTGCATTTAGAAGCATGAAGTTTTTCTCACTCAGGGTAGGGTAGGGTAGGGCTGCCTTCTATACTGGAGTACATAATGCCGGATTGATCATGATCATGATCATGGAGTTAGCATTTTGGTATTGAATCAAAACCTTACCTTACCTGCCCAGTAGCAAAATATGACGATGGTCCGGTCCGGTCCAGTCCAGTCCGGTTCCTAATTAGTTACTCCCTCCGCCGTGACTTCTTTTCTCTTCTTTTCTTTTTTGGCCAAGATCTCTTTCTACTTAAAATTCATTTATTTTTATATTTTTTTAATTAACAAATATTTTTATTTATTTTTAAAATTTTTTATTTTTTATAAAATTAATTTATGTTAATGATAAATAAATAAATATTTTATTTTATTTATTTTTAGTATATAAAATTTTATCTTTTACAAAATAATGTGTATATATTTTATTGAGATATAATATTAAAAATATTTAAATATATATTTTTTATTTTTTTTAATCATTAAGTAATTGACCAATATATCTAAATTTCCGGGCCCAAACGAAATGAACCATCTTTGCCTGGAGAGAGTAGTTCACACTCCCTTCACTCCACCCTACAACCAAACAAGCAAAGAATGAAAAGGAGATCCTTATGTCCTATATGCGTTACTGATGACATACCGTAACGTACTGAAAATATCGATCAATATCGATATCGTACCGAATTTTTTGATATGGCGAAAATACATATCGATACCTCACCGAAAGTTTGAATATACCTGTATGTATCGTTTATTCTGAAAATTTCAATTTCGGTACGATATCGGTATATACCGCTTATACCAAAAATTTTAATTTCGGTATGATATCGGTATATACTAATTATACCGAAAATATAATTTTAAATTTTAAAATAATAAAAAAATTAATAAATATCACCATTCTCCACCACAAGAATATCATGAAAAAATAAATAATTTTTCAATAGTCTGCATATTTTTTGTTATGATTTGAAAAAAGTTAATAATTTGATACGGTATCATACCGAAATATCGAATTTTCCAAAAATTAATATTGATACAGTACCGAAAACTTCAGTACGATATCCATACCGTACCGAAATTTTTGGTATTTTTGATACGATACGGTACGATAAGTCGGTATTTCGGTATGTTCGATAAATTTCTTCATCTTACTTATGTGTTATAGTTGCCCATAATGACCATGAACAGTTGCTCCTGTAGTGGCCAAATAAGGCTTAGCTGATCGTATTACTACAGAGTCTACTTGAATAAGTATAATGGGTTTGATTCACACTCCGTGTTTCGAGAAATATTTACCATCCGAAAAGAGGAGAAAACAAGAGTCTTTGCTTATTATTTTTGAAAAAACAGCAACGAGAAGTACCAAGTGGATTTATGATTTTAAACTTTTACATTTGATTCTGATTTAATTTTTAAAAATATTCTAATTCAATTGTTAACTTGAAAAATTCAACAAAAAAAGTAGAATATGAAAATAGGTTTCAAATTTGATGAGTTGTGTCTGAGATCACGTATGAATCCGTAAGTGCTAGAGTTACTAATACAAAAATCCAAAATATAAACAGGAAACGAAAACTAGAGTTAAGAAAAAATTAAAATCTAAAGTTGTTCAGAATTTCCTTGTGTTGAGCGTATGTCTCTTCGCCCCTTCTCCTTGCTTATATTCATTTGCCCATATCGTTTCGAGCGGTTGGATTCGGTTACCAGGCTACGGGGTAACCGTCTATATTTTCTCCGGGTTGCTAACTCAACGGTAGAGTACTCGGTTTTTAAGTGCGACTAGAATCTTTTACACATTTTTATGAAGTGAAAAATTCGTCCATACCTTTGGTATGCTTTAGAAGACCGCGATTGATCCTGAAAGGGAAGAAATAGAAAAAATAGCATGTCGTATTAATAGCGAGTTCTTAGTATATTTCATTTTTTGGATCGGTACAAAACCCTGTTCGAATTCTTGGAGTGAAACAAAATAAAGTTAGGTCGAATGAATAAATGGATAGGGCCCTATGTCTTCAATTTTGAATTAATTAATTATCAAAAAGAAAAAGCAACCAACTTCGGTTCTTAATTTGAATAATATTGAATGATTGGATCAATATTGATATCCTCAATCAGAAAACCTTTAGGTCTATTATCCAGGAACTTGTTCAGAAATACCGTAATGAAAGGAAGATAGGAGTTTGTCGCTAGGTATTTGACCAAATAGGATCGTCCAGTTCCTATAGAACCTATCACTAAAAACCCCTTAGAGGGGGATAAGGCTAAGCGGAGCGAAAAGGGTTTTCCATGAGATGGGAAATGCAAAGTATTAGTCCCACATGAAGTTTGTGAATAAGTGATTGTGGTGGTTACCCCCTGAACCTCCAACCACCCGAATCGGTTACTTCATCGGGCGCGTCCCTTCAGTCTTTGGACACCTCAACCATCCAAGCGGTGTTTCCTGACTTTGCAACCAATTGTCTCGAAAATGAACGATCCATTGGTCCATCGCACCTGTATTCCAGTCGTGCCGAATTGTACTGCCAGATCTCCGAGTACCCAATTTGACCCTACGGGCCCAACTTGTCCTTGTGAGCCCATGAGACGAAACCTTATATTCCATTTTTTTCGTAACTCAACAACTTGCCGCCCCCAGAGAATGTCAAGAGTCACCTCTCAAGGGCGGTGACTATAGACATGACAGCTTCTTTCATCTGTCTCAAGTCTGCAGAAGGTCCCGGTCCCCTTTTTCGTACAAACGAGATCATTACGACGGTCGAAAAGGGGAGGGAAAGATTAAAACATTTCATCACCAACATTCTTCCTCCTACCTCTTCCAAAACTCTTATTGAACATCCAACGCACATTTCTTACCACTCACTTCAGTTTTTTGTGCATTAGGTACTCATACTGCCATGGAGACCACAACCCTCATTCCGTTCGATGGATATGCTCCTCAGCTTGCTATAAACCCATCGTCCACCGCTACTTCGGTGGTGCGTCCCTTCGTCTCCACCGTCGCCGAGGGAGCCCCCACGCTAAATTTTCTGCAACATAACTGTCGCCTCGCTATTCACGACGGAGCCTTCAATGCATCCCGTCTCTAGGATGGAATCAAAACCAATCTTCTGGATCTCAGGGATGAATTTCGCACCTGGTACGAAAGGATGGAGAGAAGTTTCGAGAAACAATGGAAACAACAAGGACTTGACAAAACTATTTTGTTGTCCTGCCAAAGCTTCAACATTCAAGACACAATCATCCTAGCCATGACCGCTTTCTGGGACCCGGAGGCCAGTGTGTTCCTGCTACCCTCAGGGCCAATTGGCCTGACCTTGATGGATGTATCCATGATCGCCCACCTCCCGATTGTAGGGGAGGACCCAGTAGTCAGAACCCTTACCGGCCAAAAACCAGCAACCGACCACCCAGGGTGGAAGATAAAGACATCCCCACACAACAAAGTCGTGGCCTGGGGGCGTTATGTGAAAATGCACTGTGGGGCGAAAGGCACCCCAGTGACCGACGAAGAGCACTTTACATTTATGCTATACTGGCTCTGCAGGTACATGGCCCTCTCCAAATTCAGCATTTTGTTCTTACAGTAGAACTTTCTTATATGCTTCTATATTCTGGCCATGACAGATATGTAGTATGCCCCTCTTCCAAATCTATCATCTATACTCATACTAACATCGCCATCCACTTGGCTCAAGACTGATTTCTCTCAGTCAGTACCTTGTTCCTTGCCAGCCTATCCAAAACCTGCCCGAAATTTTTGCAGTTCCACCAAACTTGACACTGTCTTTTCCGGTCCAATTTGGTTTTTGGAACTCTGGTTCCGTCTATACTTCCATCCTCTCTTTTTCAGGCGGCCGCCCCCTTCTTCTCGATTCGGATATATCATTCGACCAATATCTCCTCTTCTTTTGCTCCGACCAAAAACACCATAAAGACCCTCAGACCACCCTCAAAGCTATTTTAGAAACCGACCTTACCGACTCAAACTACTGCCCCTATTTTCATCTTACCGCTTTCGCCACACCACCTTTCTACGTCCCCCCCTTCAATTCATTTTCCATATCCGCCACCCTCCGAATCGCCACATCCAACCTTCAAATATTCCTAGGAGGCGGCTTTAAAGCCTCGATCTCTTTTCGCTGGGAAAAAGATCAAAAAAATGAAAAAAACATATGTTGCAATCCCCTACTATCCGCATTACTTGGCACGTCAATTCGGCTGCTGCCAAGGCATCCCAGATTTAGCCTTCACTCCTCACCTCATCCGAACCCATGCCCAAAACGTCGTGACCGAATACGCCATCAAGCCATACATCAACCAACTCACCAACTA